TTGGTTCTTATACAGCAGGTTTTAATTGTTGTTCTCAATGAGTGCTATACAGTAGAATAAACCAAATTGTTACTTTACATAATAGAAAATAAAGACAATGGCTTAACAGTTGCTGAAAGTATGTTGGATGGATTTTCACTCAAGGGAAAACCTCTCATATAGTGTATGCATGAAGGGTTAATTCATTAAGTTTGTAGACATTTTAAAAACGTAATAATTGTCTCAGAAACTACACCCAAACCATACCAATAAATAACGTTTTTTAATACTCTGAAGCCACAAAAACTCTCTGAATCCAGTCTCTCACATCCCCATCTCTTGGTGGGCCTTATCATGTAAATCACAGAATTGGGGGGGGGGGGGGGGGGGGGGGGTTTGCTTTTGCATTTATCTCCTGTCTTGAGCAAACCATGAGTGACGTCCATAACCGAGTCCAACATCTAGCTACATCGACCACGGTTATCTCCCACAGCTTTGTGTGTGGTTTAAGGAGCCAGAGCTTGGAAATGAAACATAAATAAATAAACACAACACTAGAATAATCTTCACCCACTCATCTCCAACATCATCAGGATGTTTGCCCTAGTATTGAGTCATTTCTGTGTTAGGCCTGAGCAGCAGAAGTGTTCTTACGCAACCAAACAGTAGCCATTCAAGACAGACAAACAAATCGACAGGCTGGCAGGACACTGACACCCCCCCCCCCCCACACACACACACACTACCACTTATCAACCTCGACCAACACATGCATGCTTTAACACACACACACACACACACACACACACACCACACACACACACACACACACACACACACACACACACACACACACACACACACACACCACACACACACCACACACACACACCACACACACACACCACACACACACACACACACACACAAGGCCTGAATGATGCACAACTCCTTTTCCATGTCATGACGGCTCTGCTCTCCATGAGATGCGCATAAAACAGCACGTCAGGCATGGAGGAGAAACACAGATGGAGGATTAGCCTGACATTTGCCACAGAAACCGGGCTTTCTGCGTCACGCTGGCGTCATTATTATTACTGTATAGTCTAATGTTGACGTGCATTATAAGGGGTGGCAGCGAGGAGGAGAGGGCTTGGCGTCGGAGGACCAGATTGGTTCCGCAACGCCATTACAGACCACCATACTGGGTTCATTCATAAATACCAGAGGATCGCCATCTCGCAACGGTGCCATCATTTCGCAGTCGCAGCGAAAGCCCCCCCCTCCCCCTCCCCTCCCTTTACTCTTCAAAGCAATAATCCCAACAACACCCTCACATCTCACCCCCTCTCTTTCCTGCTGACTGCCAATATGGCTGTGCGGGCATAAGGCTACATACAATGCACACGATAGAGGTTATCAAACACCAAATGTGTTGCGTGTTAGCAGCCGGTGTGCATGCGTTTAAATCAATCTGATGCATAATGGAAATGAAATGTTCTGTCCCCGGATGGAGCAGCAGGGATCGTGTGCGCCCAGCAGCCAGCAGAAGGACCGCGGTTACGCCACTGAATACCAACATCTACCCTCCATGTAGGGATGTGGTGCCGAGCAGCATCTCTCCATACCTGGTCGTGAAGTAGAGCTCCGCTTCAGGCTCGTCCTCGGTTCAGACGGATGTAAGACAAACGCCGAAAGCGTCTTAAAGCATTTTACACGGTTCATGTAGAGCTCATGTCGTCCGATTTCCAAACACCACCACAGCAGACTCTCTCTCTCTCTCTGCCTCTCTCTCGATCTCTCGCATATAGGACGTGGGAGGTGCTATGCCCTCTCCCTTTTCTGTCCACACTGGATTTTCTTTCAGTTTATACACTTCCTACTGGTTGGATGCCAGCAAAAAAACATATTTAAAACAGACTTCCTCCTATTTAGAAATAACAAATACGTAAGTGCAACTGTGGGAATGTTTGAATTATACCAACGTTAAAAATAATCAAAGAAATTCATTCATATTTAAGAGCCTGCACAAGCCCCCCCCCCCATAATCCTAATAATGATTATGACGAGCCTCAATCTTTTGTGAAATATAACATAAACCTGGAAGTAAAAAATGATGGTCCCCCAGGAAAACAAATCACATTGAAGCAGCCCAATGGATGACATACACAGCACAGTCAATCCATTTCATTTCCAAATGTCGACGTTTTAGCCACAGCCAAGTACCTATGAGATATAACCAGGCTAAGGCAGATTTGCAAATGTGACATGCAAAATAAACAAGTTAAATGTACAAGTTAGATTCAGGCATTTGACTAACAATCTTACATTTTTGTTTCTACCATGAATACCCTATAGGCAATATAGGCAAACAGACCTCAAGTAGGCCTTCGGGTTTAAAAATAACAAATAATACATAAATCAAATCAGAAATATAACTGCATCAATCAAGCAGAGGTGTCTAAGGAAAGTCGAAATACCAAATTAGATGCATTGCAATCAGTTATATAAGAAAGGTTATATGAAGTGAGCTATAGGGCTTTTAATCTTATAACTAAATATAAATTAAAGGGAACAAATAAATCACATCTCTTGTTGTCTGATCAGCACCACGGACAGCGACCTGATTGTGTTTCAGCACCACACACACACACACACACAGAGAGAGAGAGAGAGACATGAGTAGAGTATAGCTGCACGTGCACATACTGATAATACAGCCATAATAACACAGCAAGATTACATGTAATGGGCGGATAGAAGGGATTGCAGAGTCGATAAACCAGGAAGTATATCAGCCCAGTATCAGCACGCACAAAATAATTCGCGGCAGGAATGAAAACGTTACAATAACTTCATTTAAAACCTCAAACAAGAGTGAGGAAGCCTCGAGGAAGCCTAGCTCTGGTGCAAATAAAGACCTGTGATGGAGTCAGACCGGGCCTGGTTCTGTTGTCTGTACGTGACGGTCTCACTGTATGACTCACCCTCTCTCCATGCACCATGGCCTCTGTCGCCCTCTGTCTGTGAGCCTGGGAGCTGCAGGAGAGAGGCAGACAGTGGGGATACCAAGAAGCATTGGGTCAGTTGGGAATGAGATAATGAGCAGGAGAAAAGATCATGCAAGAATAGGAGATATAGTTTTAAAGGTCCCACATTATACTGTTTTTCATCAATATATTATAGGTCTCAGATATATACAAAACATGTCTCTGAAGTGTTTGGCTCCAAACACCAAACAGATCATTGCAGCATTACCCATAATCCCCTCTGTTTCAGCCCTGTTTCCAAAGTGCTGATTCTCTGTCTGTTACTTTAGATGAAAATAAGGAGCCCCTCCCCACGCCCCTCTGAGAGACATTTGGTTAAAAAGAACACAATGGTGCTCTAGGAGGAAATTCAGGTGATAAGGTGGGGGGGGGGGGGGGTTACCTTGGATGCTGATTGGCTAATGGTTACACAAGACAAAACATCGTTATGACATAAAGTGGCCAAAATCTGATCAGCTCATTTTCAGACAGGTTTTTATAAAAATGGATCAGGACAAAAAGAGAGAGAATCTTTGTTCCTGAAACTTTCAGAATCTCTTTCCACAGAGGGGACACATGTTGATGAAGAAGAGACATGAAGAAGAGGGGACACATGTTGATGTAGAAGAGACATGAAGAAGAGGGGACACATGTTGATGTAGAAGAGACATGAAGAAGAGGGGACACATGTTGATGTAGAAGAGACATGAAGAAGAGGGGACACATGTTGATGTAGAAGAGACATGAAGAAGAGGGGACACATGTTGATGAAGAAGAGACATGAAGAAGAGGGGACACATGTTGATGTAGAAGAGACATGAAGAAGAGGGGACACATGTTGATGTAGAAGAGACATGAAGAAGAGGGGACACATGTTGATGAAGAAGAGACATGAAGAAGAGGGGACACATGTTGATGTAGAAGAGACATGAAAAAGAGGGGACACATGTTGATGTAGAAGAGACATGAAGAAGAGGGGACACATGTTGATGAAGAAGAGACATGAAGAAGAGGGGACACATGTTGATGTAGAAGAGACATGAAGAAGAGGGGACACATGTTGATGTAGAAGAGACATGAAGAAGAGGGGACACATGTTGATGAAGAAGAGACATGAAGAAGAGGGGACACATGTTGATGTAGAAGAGACATGAAGAAGAGGGGACACATGTTGATGTAGAAGAGACATGAAGAAGAGGGGACACATGTTGATGTAGAAGAGACATGAAGAAGAGGGGACACATGTTGATGTAGAAGAGACATGAAGAAGAGGGGACACATGTTGATGTAGAAGAGACATGAAGAAGAGGGGACACATGTTGATGTAGAAGAGACATGAAGAAGAGGGGACACATGTTGATGTAGAAGAGACATGAAGAAGTGGATTTTGCATAATAGGTGACCTTTAAGAGTCTACAGCTATTTTCAGAAATAACGTCCTCTTACTGTACCTTCTCAGGTTCATTAGATTTGACCTGCAGTACGTCTTATTGTCTTAACTTAAGAAGAACACACAACCAACGATAAAGGCAATATCAAATAGTGAGACAGGATCATTATAGCCGATAAATTACAACTTATTTTTGGCAATTGATAAGCAGATAACATCAAATCCCTCCTGTAGTGAAATTAACATATATTTATGTCAGATGCAGAGACAGAATATCATGCTTTTCCATATGTGCGCATTCACTAGGTAAGAAAACTACTTCAAAATAGCCTCGTGCATCCCTACCATCAAACTCTAATCAGGCATAAAAAATGATATTCTAATCTAATATTCTTCCACAAACATCACAAAACACGAGTCTTCAGTGGTTCTTTGAGCTAAATGCTAACATCGGGATGCTAACATTGACAATGACCTGTATAGCATATGTAATATTTACAAATATCTTTGATTTCTATGCCTACATTTGCCAAGTAGGATTTAAGAGTAAGCTAATCTGAGGCGGGAAAAAAACAAGTATTCAAAAAAATAACACTAAGACAAAAGTACACCAGATGATGCCTCTTAGGAAAAGTCACCAAAGTCAGTAGGGTTCATCATCTGGAAAGTGTGAATGTACTGTATGTGTCAGAAGTGTCAGAAGTGTCAGTGTGCCATCCTAACAGCCGTAATGTGGCTGAAAAGAAGCGTGTAATTACAAAAAGCTATCTAAAAACTATCTGTGTATAAAACATGCTTTCATACATTGACTTATTTTTCTTCTTTGTCCTCTTCTCATCAGCTCTTCAGATATTGTCCGATGCCATTACAGGCCCCACACTCAACACAAGGCGTTGGATCAGCAGCACAATGCAATCATTGGGTTTCTGTGTCCAATTTGTGTTGAATCGATGACCTGTCGCCCACCGCTGGCTGAGGGGACACACAACAAACACCCAGCAGACGCATCTCCACAGAAGCCATTTCCAGATGGGTGCCTTCATTCCCCCGTGGCGGTGTGTGGCCATAACAATGACTCCATCCACCATTTCCCATGCATTACATCCAGCGCGCAAACACAAAGGAGCTCCTATTCAGGGCCCCTCAAGCGTGAACACACAGCCACAGACAAATTACAGCTCGGGTGGTCAGGCCGTCTGCATGCCAGTAAATACTTGAGGACGACGGGTCAAGAGATCGAGTGGATACGAAGGATGGGAGAGGGTCATGGCAATTGTATCTTTCCACCAAATATGTAATATTTAGAGTTCAATTATCTACATCCAGCAATAACTGCATATTTAGGCGAATACACTTTGGTGTTATGCGTTTGAGAAATGCTTGATGAAAAGGTACCAAACGTTTTTTGTAATACTTAAGAGGATTTGCCACAATTTAGAATAGGGTAAGTGAACGTTGACACACATCGCAAGATATTTGGAAACCATTTATAAATACAGAAGATACAAGTTCATGAAATACTCCTTCAAACACACCTTACATACACCTTAAATACTCCTTCAAACACACCTTACATACACCTTAAATACTCCTTCAAACACACCTTAAATACTCCTTCAAACAAACCTCACATACACCTTAAATACTCCTTCAAACACACCTTAAATACTCCTTCAAACACACCTCACATACACCTTAAATACTCCTTCAAACAAACCTTAAATACTCCTTCAAACAAACCTTAAATACTCCTTCAAACACACCTCACATACACCTTAAATACTCCTTCAAACACACCTTAAATACTCCTTCAAACACACCTCACATACACCTTAAATACTCCTTCAAACACACCTTAAATACTCCTTCAAACACACCTTAAATACTCCTTCAAACACACCTCACATACACCTTAAATACTCCTTCAAAAACAACTTAAATACTCCTTCAAACACACCTTGAATACAACTTAAATACTCCTTCAAACACAACTTAAATACTCCTTCAAACACAACTTAAATACTTCTTCAAACACACCTCACATACACCTTAAATACTCCTTCAACACACCTTAAATACTCCTTCAAACACACCTCACATACACCTTAAATACTCCTTCAAACACAACTTAAATACTCCTTCAAACACAACTTAAATACTTCTTCAAACACACCTTAAATACTTCTTCAAACACACCTTAAATACAACTTAAATACTCCTTCAAACACAACTTAAATACTCCTTCAAAACACAACTTAAATACTTCTTCAAACACACCTTAAATACTTCTTCAATCACACCTTGAATACAACTTAAATACTCCTTCAAACACACCTTACATACACCTTAAATACTCCTTCAAACACACCTTAAATACTCCTCAACACACCTTAAATACTCCTTCAAACACACCTTAAATACTCCTTCAACACACCTTAAATACTCCTTCAAACAAACCTCACATACACCTTAAATACTCCTTCAAACACACCTTACATACACCTTAAATACTCCTTCAAACAAACCTTACATACACCTTAAATACTCCTCAAACACACCTTAAATACTCCTTCAAACACACCTTAAATACTCCTTCAAACACACCTCACATACACCTTAAATACTCCTTCAAACACACCTTACATACACCTTAAATACTCCTTCAAACACACCTTAAATACTCCTTCAAACAAACCTTAAATACTCCTTCAAACACACCTTAAATACTCCTTCAAACACACCTTACATACACCTTAAATACTCCTTCAAACAAACCTTACATACACCTTAAATACTCCTTCAAACACACCTTAAATACTCCTTCAAACACACCTTACATACACCTTAAATACTCCTTCAAACAAACCTCACATACCTTAAATACTCCTTCAAACACACCTTAAATACTCCTTCAAACAAACCTTACATACACCTTAAATACTCCTTCAAACAAACCTTAAATACTCCTTCAAACACACCTTAAATACTCCTTCAAACACACCTTACATACACCTTAAATACTCCTTCAAACAAACCTCACATACACCTTAAATACTCCTTCAAACAAACCTCAAACACACCTTAAATACTCCTTCAAACACACCTTAATAAGAGAATTGTGTTTATGCAAAATGAACTATGATCAAAGCCGAGGTTATGGATCGAGGAATACAATTTCTGAGTTAACAGAAATATGAAAAAACAATTACAGAAATCACTGGCGCGTAAATATTGTAATTTGGTCCAAATCAAAGCCCACTTCCTACTGGAGAGGACCCCTGAAGAAAGAGAAACACATCTGAACGTTTAAAGATAAGACAGGCAGACACTTGTTTAGTTCATTAAGATTCCAGTTTTATTATTTCATCATAGTGAGAAGATAAATTAAGACATATCAAAGGCGTAAGTTAAGATTTAAAACCTCCCATTAGCTCACGCAGACTTTAAACGCTTATTAGCAAATAAAGGAGTAGAGCTTTAGAGAGCAAGAACACATTAATGACAAGTTCCAGTTTTGATTAACAATGTTACAAATCTTTGTTAAAATAATTAAGAAACAACCTGCTTTGTAACCGTAATGTTTTCTGCCACAAATGGCTTCCAGAGACACAATAACATAACATTGACTGCTGAGAGCTTACAGGCACACAAACGTAATGTCTGCCATCAACACGGTATGTCAAACAAAGAAATTAATGTCACATACAAAGGTCACAGTTTTTCAGATTGTCTTGGCAGTACCGATGGCAGTAAACTGATGGTGACGCACAGACAAGCTTTGATTTGTTTCACGAGAGTTAAGCTTCAGTTCACCACGTGACGCCGGGGTTCAGCCTCACTCGTCACGGAAATGGAAGAGAGGACAAGACAGAAGCAGAAAACAACAAACCCACACATACTCTCACTTAGTCACTCTTTCAATTACCCAACACACACACACACACACACACACACACCACGTGCAAACACACAGCCGTCCCGTGTTTCTCACTGGTCCTTTTCATGGTTGAGCGCCCGGTTAACAGCTGGTGGGACAAACAGAGAAAAGAACGTTGCTGTATTTTGTATTTAAGGGTTTACTTCCACAGTGTAAATCTAAGGGGGGATAGCGGGGGTTTGTGTGTTATCGGGGATGACGTATTTTGTCTATTGATAGATTTATGATTCGAACATTTAAAAAAAGTAGGGTAGACACGTGGAGATTATCCGGCTGAACAAAACGTGCATTTATCAAACAGGTTGGTTTTCCACAGATCTTATTTTTTTACAATATTCCAAAAATCCTATGGAGAAATCCCGTTGCTTTGTTGTCCATTGAACCCAGCTTACTTCCCGGGTCGGCCTACAAAAATACGTCATCACTGCTCCACTCTATAGCAGTTGATATAGTATGTGGCTCTACTTGCATGTACACTGAGATCTCACCCTCCTTTGTCACCGACTCAGTTATGTCCTTAGCCTTGGCGCTCAGATCGCTGACCATAGTGTCCATGGCGGCCTGGGTGCTTCAGGAAAAATGGCCGGACCACACGCTTGTACAACATGTCGGAGCCGTTCCACGTCACCGGAGCCATGCACCAAATCAGGAACAGACACTGAGGAGGAAGCAGAGGGCAGATCTTAGATATCACTTCCTGTCTGAAGTGAGTGACACATGTCTGGTTCGTTATCTTCTGCGATAATAATCTGACTGCTTTTGGCATTTAGACTGTTGGTCTGGGTGCCTTGTTTGAGAATATTTCACCGTTTTCTGACCTTTTTAAAAAGGTCAACTGATTAATTTATGAATTGAAAAAATACCCAGACTATTACTTTCATTTCTAATTAATCTGCAGTTATTTTCTTTTTTACAATTTGTCGAAAAATGTTGCATTAAATAAAAAGTGTTAACATTTCTGTGACACTTGTGTTACATTGCAGGCCAGTGGAAATGAACCATCACTATAAGGCACTGTTTATTCATCTCTTTTTCCAGGAATATAATATTCATTAAAACCAAACCATTAAACGAAATATTAGCGATCATGATAATTATATTATATTGAGAACAAAATGACTACTGCAACTGGTGGGGATTCATATTTCCCAATGAACTGTATGTAGATATACAAACCAATATTCATAGTGGCAAGCAGGCTAGTCTACAGAGACAGCAGCATGTTATATTTGAATAAAATACTAAAGTACATAGTGCCACCGTTCACAATGAACTGTTCTTGATTTGCAATGTAGGCATTTTGATCAGAAGCAACCCAAACTAAGTGCATTGAATCAATGTGGGTACAACCCCAATAAGTGTGTAAGTACATCACCTTTATCAAATATGCTGATCTACTTCAAGTGTTGAATGTTATTTTGCATTGAGGGACAATAGTGTCTACCACAAAAAAGTCTTGTAGAATCTGCGTACAGACTTTTTTGTTGGACTCACTTTGTCCCTTTGAACATACAAAATATGCAGAAGTGGGTTCAAGCGTGTTTAAGTCATGGGCTGTGAAACACAGATATCATCAGCTGTCTGAAGGTCTTCCTTCCTCATTGTGACTTACACACATTGTCCACTAGAGTGCGCTGTTGGTGTTCCGATTCCATAAACCCTCCCATGGACTGGATTCAACATATTGTGAACTTTGGCTTCACGGGAGGGCTGTGCAGTTAATCGTATTTTAAATCGCAATTACGATTTTGGCCTGCCACAATTACAAAAACAACAATAATCGAAAAAAAAACGATTATTTTGCTTTGCTAGGTTTGTGACAGTGCACTGCAACATATTTGATCTAATTTATTTGTATTTATCATATTTATATATGTTTAGTAGCTTGTTGAAGTGCGCTCCAAAATATTTGTTGATCTTGTTTATTGGTATTTATTATTTTGATATTATTTATTTAAATGTATCATTTATTTTTGTATTGGTTTTTCAGTTGAATTATACGCTCAGGGAAATCAACAGTTAAAAAGATACTGTTCAAATTATTATTTGTATTTAAAAGTTCAATAAATGGATGTTTTCAAAGTCAATGAATAATCGTATTTAATAATCGTGATATCAATTATTGATCAAAATAATCGTGATTATGATTTTTGCCATAATCGCACAGCCCTACTTCACGGTTAAAACAGACGTATACAGGGTGGCAAAGAAAAGGAACGTTTGCTCAATAAATAAGGTGTCAAATATCGACCCATACACAAAAGTTTAAAACGTATTTTAAAAGGACAGGAGCCGACCTTGCTGGCGTAGTAGAAGGGAAACAGAAGAGGAAGATGTCCGGAGAAGGCCTCGGCGATGCTGAAGACTCCAATACAACCACCCAGTAGGGTCAGCCACTGCGTGTCGTCCTCCTTCACATTGCTCTCAAGTGGCCTTGATGCTGACAGGACGACACAGATTGATGAGTGTTAACAAACGACATACTGCAAACACTGGAAACCCTAATACATTTAATATATTTAATATATTTTTATGATGTGGTAGAATTTATACTCAACATGCTAGGTTTTCGAAACATTTAACTCACCAAATCACATTTTTCCATCCGTCACATACTTATGTATATATATAATATATACACCTTGCTTTATATCTTGTTATTGTTCTTTGTAAATTCAACATGTATATTTTCTACTTTCTTGTTATTGGCCATGTCTTTTTTTTATGCTGCTGCAACACAAAAATGTCTCAGATTGGGATCAATAAGTTCTATCTTATCTTGTTGTATGCAGCCTTCAGGTTCGTTTGCAAAATATAAAAGAAAACATGGTATGTTTAAGCAGCACTTAAAGGTAGGGTAGGTAAGAATGGAGAAACCAGCTGGAGTGCGCTAGAATTTGAAAGTACGCAGCCGAAAAAAAATCTGCCCCTTCCTTCAGACTTCCTCACAGAGCCCCTCCTCCAACACACACGAACGCACACATGACCAATGAGGGCACGAGATAAGTTTGTGCACAGATGGAAGGCTGACAGGCAGGTAGGCCATCAGTTACTTTAGCCGGGCCGGCTCAGATGATTGGTCGTGCTTTTTACAGTACTACGGCTTCCACAGATGATATATTTTATGTATTTATTGTCAAAGCATTTAATATATTCATTGCTATCGGGATGTTAAGAGCATTCCATGGAATATAACAAGTGTTTCTGAAGTGAATTACCTACCCCACCTTAAGGGATAGGTTCTTGTGGGGCTGCACTAATGGGCGCATTTCCATTGCAGCGCGTAGCTCGCTTTAAGCGTGCCGTGTCGTGCCGTCCCCTTTTTTGGTTGTGCTTCCACTAGGCCTCGTTCCGGCGCGGCACGGCTAGGGGCCACTTTTTCCCCTCTTTTCTGGCCCTAGAAAATTGTGGTTCTATCGGGGCCAACAAACAGGGCTGAGTCGGGCTGAGTATGCTAAACTAGAGAGAGGAGCGCTGGCAAGAGGGCTAGAACTACAACAAGATGGACATATTTGACCGTGATTTAATTGTAATACACGTTTCAAAATGATGCCGAAGTAACAACATACTGATACCGGTTAGTAAAAACCATGAATTAATGCTTTGTCAAGTCTGCAGACAGACGGCAGGCGAAAAACCTTTTAAATTCGTGTTTTTCTAGATGGAGATTGGCTAAGCTAACGCAGTATATGCCCCGACCGTCCACACTCACAACAACGGCCTATACAGACATAAATACAGCAGCGACTGTATTCACCATGACACAGGCAGTCTGTGGTTTGTACTTGTTTAACTTTTGTCGAGTTTCTGAACATATATAAGGAGCTGTGAGCTCTGAGTGCTCACAGCTAACGGCTGTGTTGTGTTTCTGGATTTCTCATTGAAGATGACGTCACGGCTCCGCCTACACTGCGTTACTATAGTAACTCCCCAGTTCCTAAACTGTAATGGAAGCGCAGCATGAAGTGAGTCGGCCCTGTTAAGGCCCAACGCGGCCAAGCCGTACCGAGCCGTACCGAGCCGTACCGAGTGTGGGCCGAGGCCGACCGTGTAGTGGAAATGCGCCATAAGTGTCTCTGAATACAATACCAAGATGTACATTAAAGGGGACCCTATCATGCAAAATGCACTTTTGTATGTTTTTTATACATGATATGTGTCCCCG